AAATTTTGTAAGCCCTTTTCATGGGCTTTATATCTAAGTATGATGACATGGAGGCTCATCCAATAAAAAAAATAACCCCACCACTCGAACAGTTATTTACCATTTGCCACTCATCGGAAACTTTGTTAAGTTAATTAAAAATGATAAACATTAAATTAAATGCCGGCTGGCTAACTTTTGCCGATTGTTAATTAAATTTTCTTAAACTTTTAATGGGATCCCATGAATCACATGGCACCAAACACGCACACACACACACGCAGTTACACATTCAGATATGTACGTATGTATGCATTTGGTATATTTGTAATATAATATTTATGGCTGTAAGAAAAAGTAATCTTATTTGTTATGAATAAACAATGAACGGGCCATGGATGAAGAAGGAAGGCGGCGCTTGCCTATGAAATTATTGTTTTTCCTTACTTGAAAACCCAAAGAGAAAAAAAGAAAAACTTGTCATTTCTTGAGAAAATCGTTTCAAATGATAGAAAAATGGATAGAAAGAAGTAAATGTCGAGGAATCACAGAGGCATACAAATGTAAGGATAGTTGGGTGAAGAAATGAATGAATGCATGTTTGTTTGTTTGTTTGTGTGTTTAAGGTTGGTTGCGACGATGACAACACTTTTCGCTGAAAACTTTTCTTACAACAAACACTTAGTGAGGAGCATTGTTGCTGGGGAAAAGTAGGCATGTTTAACATCATTCTTCTTCTTTGCCCCCCGTTCTCCTTCCATCATTTCAAACAATGAAGATGCAACAAAACGCTACTCCTCTTAAGATTTTTCATTTGAAAGTTTTCTGTAGGATGGCTGCAGTTGGAAGCGGAGAGGGGGTGTTGTAAGCTAAAGTTTGAACAACTTGGGCAAGTTATTGTCGAACGAACAAACATTGCCTGAAAATATTGAAGTAGTTTATCCTGTGACAGACAAGCAGTCAGGCAGCAGGAAGGAAGGATGTCACACAATCTGAAGTGTTACAACAGACGAATGAACGACAATCATTACAAAGCTATTCAACGGCACAAATGAGTTGTACTTTACAATTGAAAAGTGCAAAATTAAAATGTTTCTTTGTTTTCGTTTCGATTTTGAAGAAGTTTTAGAGAGGTCATTGACTTTAGTGGCATATTTTTACATCAAGTTGTAGATAATCGAAATAAATATGTTCAGTCATGCAAATATAGATCTGAAGTTTTTTCTATCAATGATATGTATTATAGCGGAATTTATAGTTGGTGGTGTCACTGAAAACCGTATAAGCCATACTACCAACAGATTATGTAATCACTGAATAACAAATCTACTAAGGTCTTTTGTTGACAAAAAGATTTTCCGATTAACTAGACTAGAAGTCTTTACACTTTTGTCTGTGATCAGAAGATCTTCAAAAGGTATTCCACAGGCCAGATAACTTACTTAAAGTCTTTCAAACAACAGACGACCCTCTATGTCTACATACCAGAAATGCCTTATAAAGTTGCACTGTGCGACGAGATTATTTTTTTCCAAAATTATAGAAAGAACCCGAAACGATTATGAAAGTAGTGTTAAAAATATGAGACACATGCATCGGCGTTTTGAAAGTTTACATCGGGAAAGTAGCAAAAAGAGGACGATAAAGTTCCGCCAATTTTTATAATTTTTGAAAATCTATAAAGAGTACATTTATGTGTGACCGATTCAGTTGATCGAAACAGTTGAAGATAGAATCTGGAAATTTTGTAAGTTTGGGGTTTTGGGAAATCGTACAAAAAGGATACTAAAAGGTACCAAAAATTGAAACGAATCTATTAGACAAACGGATAGAGATAGGAATCTAAATTATGTAGGATAGATGTTACAAAAATGTTTCCAGCCATTTCGAACTTTTGAAAATGTGTACTAAGTGTGAGATCTGGGTTTGGGTGAGCGGATGGAGCTGGAATTTTGAAATGTTGATATTGCAGTCGCTGTTAGAGTGTAAGGTTGAGATTTGAAGGTGGGTTTAGAAATTTGTTCTAAACAAGTACTGGTATACGAGAAAGGGGTAGAGTTGGAAATCTGAATGTTTGTATTAGGATCATTTTTTGTGAGGTGGGGTTGAGATGGAGGTGTATATGGGAATATGGGCTGAGAAAGTACGAAAAGTACTAAATGGTATAAAATTTGATTTCTGGGGAAAGGATGGAGCCGGAAATTTGGAATGAGGATCTTTGATGCTTTGTGAAAAGAAGCACCGAAGGGTCATTGGAAATTCGAATGTTGAGTGTACCGAAGGAGTTGGCCAAAATTGACAAATTCGTATCTGACCTAAGACTTATATAAATATTACAACTTGCCAGATATAGTCCAAATCGACTACTTCCTATACTTTATATAAGATATATGCATTTTTTTGGAAAATGTGGAAATATGCGTGAAGTAGAAGATATAGCGGACCTAAGTATTCCATTTTCATACTTCATCTAATATAGATAAAAAATATTGGTAAGGGCAAAATTTGAAAATTGTGACTCTTTGTGGGTTAGGTACCAGAAAGGGGTTTCGCAGATATATATCATCTTCACAACATATCCTGTGGTAGCAAAAACATTTGTATGTGTGATATTTGAAGAGAGTGGGATGGTTATTTCGCTTTCTTTCGTCGTTTTGTTTTTCAAAATCTTGGACCCTATGTGGGTACGTATCAGAAAGAATGGTCCGATCTCTACCATCTTAATAACAGTTCTTGTGTTGATGGAAATATTGAGATGTGCCAAATCGGATGTTAATTTCGTGTTTTATGAGCTTTGTTGGGGAGGTACAAGAAGAAGTGGACCTATATATCCCATCTTGTTAATAAAAATATTGTAATGTGTGTAATGTGAAAATAAAAGGATACTTATTTCGAATTTTATGATCGTCTTAGTTATTCAAAACTTTGCCCTTTGTGGGGCCCATACCAGACCTTGGGACAATCGGACTCGTACATCACATTTTATAAGAGTTAAAATTATGCAAAAGTTTGACCTTTTGTGGGGAAGGCACCAGAAAGAGTGGACCAATATTGTCCGCACCTGACTTAGCACTGATGCAAATATTAGGATTCGCAAAGTTATATAAATATCGGATTATGCTTTATCTTTCTGTCCAGTAAATTATTTTCTTTGAAAATGTTGACATTTTGTGGGGGAGGTACCAGAAGGAGTGGACCGATGTTGCCCATCTCCGAACTCGATCTAAGTTTGACAATAATATTACGATCGAGAGTTATCCTGAGCACCAGCCAGACAGACAGACGGACGGACATCGCTAGATTGACTCCAAATGTCCTGAAACAGATTTGGTTCAAAGAGACCTAGGGTCTAAAACCATTATTTCCATGAGGCATGTTTTAGCAGTATCAAATGATATATACCCTCTCTAGCCATATGGCTGAGGTTATAAAAATATTATAATAGAAAATTGATTCCTTCCTTCCAAAAATGTCGGAAGTTAAGAATTTAATTTCAGAAATTTAAAAAACATCGTGTTTAAAAATTCTACTTTTCGAGGACGAAATGCCGACTCCAAATTTTCAACATGGAGTCTAAAACCGATATTTCGATAACACACATTTTCGACCGTATCAGCTGGTGATTAGTCTCCATAGCCGCAAGGTCCTGTGTAAGCCTTTCACAGTAGGGATGGTCATCAAGTTTCCTCTCTGGTTTGGTCTCCTTATTAATACAATGCCTCTGAATATGTATACCATAATATGTAAATGGCCTTTTCTGTTTTAACTTATATCTTCCTGATATAAAATACTTTAAGAACTGTGCATTATCAGGACAAATCACTATCATGTGAGGGTTGGAGAATAAGTGGCATTTCTACATGAGTGCTCTTTTGTATGGTTACGTTTTCATTATCAAAAAATAAAAATCAGCTACCATTAAAAAAACCTTATCTCAGACATTTCATCAAATTGGAATTTGATTAATTGAAAACCAAGAAACAAATAAAAAGAATTCCACAAAAAATATTTGCTTATTGAAATCCCATCTAATGAAGTACCCTAACGCAACATGTGGCGGCGTTTGATGGCGTGCAGTAGCAGCAGCAGTAGCTTGAAGTGGCTGACTGCAGTTTGCCAGCCACTTTAGTTTGGAGTCAGAGTCCGTGCTGCATGTCTAGTGGCCAACAATCAATGATGGCGTGTTAAATGCACTCACACACACCCACACACTCAAACACACAACTAATGTTCAATCAATTAATTTTAACCAAATTTCCACTTTGCGAACAAAATTTGTGGCACGGTGATGGGCAGACAAACAAAAGGAGGAGATGAGCAAAAACAAAAAACGTTATTCGATGATCTATGTGGTGTTGATGATTCTATTTTCCATTTTCACAGCTGGTTGCATGATGATGATGATGCTGCTGTTGTTAGCCAAGTGTGAGTGTCAGTAGTGACGGTGGTGGTGAAGGTGTTAAGGCCAGCGGTTTAATGTTGCCATTACTTTTACTCTTTACATTTTTTGTTTGAATTTTGTTTTTGGTTTAGCTTGTGGCAGCTTGAAGCTTGAACATGGTCATGATAAATTATTGTTGCATGATTGAACATTTACACCCTCCACTAATTGCAACAAAGGCAACAACATGCGTTACGTGCGAGTGATGGTGAGGATAATGATTATCGGAGTTGATTATGATTGGACATATCATAATGTATTGGGGCTGTTCCTGCATGCCGATATGAAAACACATTTTCGAATAAGATTTTTATATTTTCAATTTTTTTTAAGTTAATTTCAAAATTTTAAAAGCGCAATAGTGTTTTTCTTTCAGAAACTAAGTCTACAATTGTTCTACTGACTCGCCCCTCTTTTTAACCTTTTTTACCCTTTTCAAGTCTACAATATTAGGGTTTAATATTTTATGTTGAACTTCAAAATAGGTCCCTTAATTCTGACCACAACATTTTGTTTGTAGATTTTTTATATATTGTTAAAAGTAATATATTTTCTCAGATAAATCAAAAATAAAACTCACCAAAACACGATTCTCTGTTTTGTCATTCTTCGTTTCCAATTTGACCATATATTTGACAAGGATTTTTGTGTGACGGCCCAATATGGACTTAACGCTCTCTGAAACAAAAAAAATGGAAGAGAAACAGAAATATGTCATTAGAACTATTAATCAGCATAAATTTCAAAAATTTGCACATTTTTTTTCTTTTCTAACACAAAAATTCAATTAGACGTGACTGGATTCAATTCAAATGGGGTAGACGACGGCAACGACGTGTTTATGTTCGCATAGCATGAAAGTGAGCAAATTTAAATTAATAACATCCGATATTATGGCGCAGATCAAAAATACAACAACAACCATATCGTTGTCACCATTATTATGATGCAGTTTGTGTGGGGCATATGGCGAACAAAGCATTAAAAAAATGGGAATTTAGGAATTTTTTTGATTATTTTAAGAACGTTGCATTATAAAAAGTATTTTTTCAACTACTTTCAACACCAACAATATTTTTCCTCACACATACACGTGTTTTTAAAAAATATTTTTTTTTTTTTAAATTTGAAATAATTTTTTATAAGGATTGGATAGCTAAAAGAAGAAATTTAAAAATATTTTTAAGGAAATTTAAATATATAATGTTATATAGCGACTTTTTAAATTTTTTCAAAAAGCAAACCCTTTGAGAATATTTTTAGAGGACTTTTCAAAGAATATTTGTATTAGATTTTCAAGGTTTTATATATTATTCAAGTTATTCTCTTTTTCGGAAAGAAACCAGGAAAATTGTACCTTTTACTTCAAAAGGTCTTCAAAATCGATCATTGCTCAATGGTCCCACATCCAAACTTTCTGTCCAAAACTATTTCAACGTCTCCATATGTAAACCCTAAAGACTAACAGTGGCCTCAATATCAAACCTCAGAATTTCACATCTATTCCTTCAGCCGATACCAAATTTAGCAACATTTATAAAAAAAATGCAACTCTCCATCCTGGACACCAACAGTGATCCAAAACCAGATATCAACACCAGATACCAACAAAATCCTCAATATAAAATTTCGGTATTCTAGGTCCATCTTAAGACCAAATCCCATGTTTAATACCAAACTTTTCGTACATTTATATTACGCATGTCCAAAACCACCTCTTTCTCCGCACCCTAGATACCAACATAATACCAAATTTCAGAATTTCATCTCTATCCATACACCAACGACACATTTTGTGGAATTTTCCTCTTTTCGTACGGATTTCCAAAACTATCTCCAAATTTTAACTACAGGCAATAACAGTGACATCCATATCAAATTTGAAGATTTTAGCACCTATCCCTTCACCCAATACCAAATTTAGTGTCATTTAGTATAATTATAGTACATATATGCAAAACCAGCCCCTTTACGCAACAACAGAACCTAACAGTGACATCCATATCAAATCTGAGAATTTTAACTTTATTCCTTCACCCTTACCAAATATAGTACTATTGAGTACTTTTCGTACAATTATAGTACACATTTTTTAGGCTAACTCTATATATTAATTCCAGATACCAACAGAAACCCCAATACCAAATTTAGTACCTTTAAGCACTTTTCGTACAAATATATGACGCATTTCCAAACCACCGCCTAATCTCAAACACTAATATCCTCAGTAATATAAAAATCAAATTTCAGAATGTTATCTCCAACCCTACACCAAATTTCAGATACCAACTGAGACCTCAATATGAAATTCGAGGATTCCAGTCCTATCCCCTTCTCCCAATACCAAATTTAGTACCATTTGGTTCTTTTCGTACAAATATTGAACGCATTTCCAAATCACCGCCAAATCAAATTTCCGAATTTTATCTCTATACCTTTACTCAATACCAAATATAGTACCATTCAGTAATGTTTTTACAAGACTACACATAAACAGCAGTCCTAATACCAAATTTTAGATTTCAAGCACTATCTGCTCGCCCAATACAAAATTGTATCAAATATACTAATATTTAGTCATTCTCGCGCAAATGTATACATTTCCAAAACCACCTCTATAAAACAAACCAAACACTTACAGGGGCTGAATACAAAAATTCCAGCATTTAAATGTGAATAAATCTTTTGTGTCTCGTATCATCGCTCGTTATATATGATACTGGAAGCGTAGCCCGACGTCAAGGAAGTGGACGGAAGAAAACAGCAACATCAGCAGAAATGGTTCAAAAAGTAAAGAAGCGACTTGGTCGAAACCCGCGTAGCAGTGGCCGAAAAGTGGGTCGTGAGCTGAACATATCGCAATATTCCAAATATTGAAAAATGAGCTCGAGGTAAAGCCATTGAAATTCCAAAAAGTGCAAGAACTTACACCGCAACAGAAAGAAAATAGATTCAAAGGGGCAAACGAGTTGCTTCGCTTGGCCGAAAGTGGTGAACTGTCCAATTTGGTTTTTTCCGATGAGAAAACATTCGTTGACCGCAGACCTTGGACATTCCAACAGGATTCAGCACCATCGTACTCAGCACGCGCCACCCAAGAATGGTTACAAAATGAGGTTCCTCGCTTGATTTCCACCGAACAATGGCCACCGGGAATGGACCAAAATACCGCAGAGCAACATTCGAGCAGCGTGTGACGGTTTCATTGGCCTTTGAAGGCCATAATTCGTGCCAAAGGTGACCAATTCGAACAAATCTAAACTTATTCTAAAATTTGATGCTATTTGCGATATTTTGCTTTCATTCAATAAAATTAAAAAAATGTAAAAAATATGGCTTTTGACTTTGTTGCAGTTTTTTTATCTAACCCTGTACCTATATGTCGGCAAGACGACTGATACATTTTAATAAGTTTTTTCGTTTTTTCTTTCAATTTTTAATTTTTCCATAATTAAATGTACAATACCCCTATTTACAAATTCTGGATTTCAATCAAATGGAATCTCTAAGTAAAAGTTCTCTGGAATATAATAAAATGAATAAGTAATTCGCGCTGTGGATGGCATTAAGTAGGGAAGTACAGAATAAAAAAAAATATTCACAGAAAGTTTGTGTCACCATTGGCATTCGGATGATACACAAGCTGCAATGTGAGCAATAGTAGCGAAAGCAGTTGGAGCATTATGTCATCGATCAAATATTAAAAAAAATACAAAAAGAAAACAAAAAATGTATTTCAGGCAATGTCCTACACAACGCGAAAAATTACAGATTTCCTGAAAAACATATTTGCCAATTATGATGGCACAACGTTCGTTGTTGCTGAAAAAATGGAATTATGCCAATATCGAATATTACAGGGATAGCTGGCAATCTGTGGGGCAAAAAAATTCCGTTGGGGGAGAGCTGTGCAAATAAATATTTAAAAAATAATGCATCTAAGCATTTAATTTGAAATAGTAAATGTCAATTGTTTTAATTGCGGAACGTTAGTTGTAAGCAAATTGCAACGATTTTCCTTGGGGAGGTTATTTTATAATGTTATGTAAAACAAACTAGTAAAAAAGAAGCAAAGTTCGGCCGGGCCGAACTTTCAATACCCTCCAACTTTGGGTAAAGAAAACATTTTTATATAAAGTATCTAAATTCAAACGTGTTAAAAAAAACCATAAAGTGTGTAAGGCCGTTGTATGGGGACCGTACCAAAACGGGAACCTCAATAGCCAATTTTATACCTAAAGGATTTTGACCTACCAAATCTTTTTAAATTTCAAATTTGAAACAATTTCGTGGGTAAATGTGACTAGAATTATCAAAATACCGAATTTTGGTGGGCATCGTTATATGTGTGCTATAGGAAAACGCGGACGTAAATATTCAATGTTCTGCCAACGGAGCTAGAACCCATTATGAACTACAAAAGTCAAACAAATTTTTAGACAAATCCGTGGAAAAATGAGGTGAAAACATCAAAATACTGAATATCCGGAGGCACCATTATGTGCGGACTATACGAAAACGTGGACCTAACATATAATTTTGCGCTACCGCAGCTAGAACCCATTATGACCTACAAATACCAATTTTTAGACAAATCCGTGAACAAATTTGGCAAAAATCAACAAAATACCGAATATTGGGAGGTACCGTTATATGGAGACTATACCAAAACGTGGACCTATACATACAATGTTTCGCCAAACGAGCCAGAAACCATTATGACCTACAAATAACAATTTTTATACAAATCCGTGGAAAAATAAGGCTAAATACCGAATATCCGGAGGTACCATTATGTAGGGCTATACAAAAACGTGGACCTTTACACACAATGTTTTTTCACCAGAGCTAGAACCCACTATGACCTACAAATACCAATTTTTAGACTAATCCGTGAAAAAACCTAATATCGGGAGGTACTGTTACATAGGAGCTCTACCAAAACGTGGACCTATTTATACTATGATCCGCCACCGGAGCTAGAACCCATTGCGGACGACCAATATCAATTTTAGACAAATCCATGAAACAATCAAAATGCCGAATATCGGGAGGTACCGTTATATGACAAAATGTGCTCTACGTCAAATAATCTGGGCTGTATAGCGATTTTAACAGACAGTCAGACGAACAGAAGTCGTTAAATTGACTTTGAATTTTATGCTGATTATGAAAATATACACTTTATGTGGTCTACGACGAATATTTAGGGATGTTACAAACGGAATGGCAAAGCTAATATACCCAACTTTCAAGGTAGAGGGTATAATAATGAGGTAGTGGTGGGCCGGTTACAATCAGACAATCAAAAATGTAGGAACCAGAAATAACAACATTTTTTATTTATATCAACAAGTTAGAAAATTTGCCAATGCCGAGTCTCCAACTCACAACCTTTGGTTTTAAGTCAGATGCACACACGTCCCACATTTGCTCATTACAGACAGACAATGGTAATGATGTAATTTCCCTCCTAAATATCAATAATGCAGAAGGTAGTTTGCGCACATTACCTTTTAATGGGTTATTCGGCTCACACTGAAATATGGAAATCTGAGACGCCTCAAAATCTCAACTGGACTCCCATAAATCTACAAAAGAAATGCCATCCATTTAATATTTGACACGTTTTTCATGGCTAATTCTTAACTCAAACACACATCGCTGGAACTCTCAAA